TCGAGGCCAGCCTGGTCTACAAGAGCTAGTTCCGGGACAGGCACCAAAGCTACAGAGAAACCCTGTCTCGAAAAACCAAAAAAAAAAAAAAAAAAAAAAGGGGGGGGGAGGCAACATCATATCATCATATATACAGGAAAGGTTTTGGGAGAGTGTGTATCAGGTAAGGGCCTGTTTCCAGGCTTGTGGCCTTTTGGGGCGTCTCCTTCGGAGAGAATGACGTCTTCCTCGCCCCGCCCCTCACTCGCTGGGTTCCTTGCCCCGCCCTTTCCCTTGTGCCTCCTTCCCCTCTACTCGCTTCACCCCGCCCCTCTTCCCAGCTCCTCGCCCCTCCCAATCCCTCGCTTCGTCCAGTTCCTCATTTGGCCACTCTCAGTCCTCTTCCTGCAATGGCCAGGGTCTGTGCTTTACTGCCCGCTTAGCCATTCGGTGTCCCCGAGAATCGAGAAGCTTGAGCCAAAGTATTCTCCCATCTTGCCTCACGCCAGCGTAGCCGCGGTTGCCTAGCTACGGGACGTTCCCGGAAGACGACTGGTAGGGCAGGACTTCCGGCGCCGCTGTTGCATCAGATTCTGGAAATAGTTTGTGGCCGCAGACGCGGGTTGGAATTCCCAGAGATGGCAGGTTCCTCCGCGGAGCAGGGTGAGTGGCGCGGAATGACTGTGGGGTTAGCATGACCCGAGTAGGCAATGCCAAGCTGGGGCTTTCGGGACAGCAATGGCCCAAGGTAGCAATGTCCTAAGGATCTGAGGATAGCGTTGGCCCAAATGGGTTGTGTCAGGCCAGGGTTCTGGGAACAGTGATGGCCCAAGTGAGCGGTGGCAGGCTAGGGATCTGGATTTGGCATGAACTGGAGTGAGCAGTGGTAAGCCAGGGATCTGGGGCTGACTTGCGACTTAAGTGGGTAGTGACCAACTCCGGACTCCGGGCTGACAAGTCCTTGGGTAAGACTCTGGGAGCAGTCATGACCCAAGTGGACAGTGCCAGACCAACGCTCTGGGTATGGCCAAGCTCTCAGTGGGCAGTGGCAGGCCACAGGACCTGGAGGGTGACTGCCATGACTCCATGAAGCTAGAGTATCTGCTTAGTGGGAACCTGACTTCTGTTCTATAAGTCTATCCCTTCCTCAGCCTCAGTTTCTTGATTGGGTTAAAGTTAAGGTGTCCTTGAATACTTAGATGATCCTGTATCAAATAGCCTGTCTCCAGCTGGTGCCTGGATGAGACCTCACCTCGCATCCTCCTGCCCTGTCTGGACTTTGGGGGTCAGGCAGAGGCCCAAAGATTGTTTTGGTCTTCTGCCCGAGCAGGTGGGCGGAAGGGCACCCGAGGTTAGTACTTAGGGAAGTAGGGCAGAGGAAGCAAGGCATGAAAGAGTTTGAGGCTTTATGAAGGCTTTAATCGCCAGTGTGGCCAGCAGTCACCACAGGGACATACCTGTCCAGTCAGAGCATCACTGTGTGCTTTATTGCCTACTGGGAGGCTCCCTCAAGAGGCAGTCACTTCTGTCACCCAAGGGGAGACCTGAACCTTAGCATATCTCTGAAGTGTCTTTTCTCATTGTCTTTTCAGAAAGAAAGTTCTAGAAAGAACAGAGGCTGTAGCTCAGATCCTGAAAGGTCAGAAGCGAGCCTTCCAAGGCAGAATATTTGGTGTAGGTTTTAGTCTTTGTGATACAGGCAGAAATTAGATGTTGAGCTCTGACCTCTCAGCTGCCTGCCACCAGGGTGTACCAAGATCTCTTTGGTGCTCTGTGGTGCTCTTTTGTCCTGGGTTTTAGATGGGTGCTTCTGACCACCTGAGTGGTGTGGGGCACCCAGGTGACATGGCCGCTTAGCCTGTGCCTAGTGACAGTGGTACCTTCCTTCGTATTCCAGCCTTCCACTCAACTGGCATGTCTGGATTCCAGCTGTTTCCACCACCCAGAGCAGATCTTAGAAGTCCACCTAGAATCCTGTAACACAGCAGCATGGCCAGCAGCTCCACCCTGAGCTGCCCAGCAGGTCTGGGATGACAACTATGCCCATCCATACTCACAACGATACAGGAAATGGTTCCTGCCTCAGAGGGTGGTGTAGGCGTTGAATGAGTTTGTAGGAAGGATTTGGAACAGTACCTGGTGTGTAAGAATCAGGCCTGTCAAAAATGAGGTTCTGTGGCATTTGTTTGTTTGTTTTGAGACAGGGTTTTATATAGCCAGGGTTGGCCTTGATTTTTTGTTTGTTTGTTAGTTGGTTGAGGTTTTTTTTTTTTTTTTGGTTATTTTTGAGACAGGGTTTCTCTGTAGCTTTGGAGCCTGTCCTGGAGCTAGCTCTTGTAGACCAGGCTGGCCTCAAACTTACAGAGATTCACCTGCCTCTGCCTCCCAAGTGCTGGGATTAAAGGTGTATGCCACCACCATCTGTCGTGGCCTTGATCTTGATAAATGATCCTCCTGCCTCATCTCTTGTTCAGGGATGACAGATATTGTGACACCACATCCAGCTTCCTCTTCGGCTTTTAAATAAAAATGTCTGTTTGCTGTGGTCTGAGTGAGAATGGCCCCCATGGGTTTGTGTATTTGAATGCTGGGGCAGATTTAAGAGGTCGTGTTGTTGGAGGAAGTGTGTCCCTAGGGGTGGGTTTTGCAGTTTCAAAAAGCCTCTGCCATTCCCAGTTAGGCATCACTGCCTCTTGCTTGCGTCTCAAGATGTGGACTTTCAGCTACTGCTCTAGGGCCATGCCTGCCGCTGCCATGCTCCCCATCATGGTGGTTATGGAATCTAGCCCTCTGGAACCACGAGCCCCAAATTAGAAACAAGAGACTAGAAATAAGATCTCCACATAGGGGCTGGAGAGATGGCTCAGTGGTTAAGAGCATTGCCTGCTCTTCCAAAGGCCCTGAGTTCAATTCCCAGCAACCACATGGTGGCTCACAACCATCTATACTGAGGTCTAGTGCCCTCTTCTGGCCTGCAGACATTCACACAGACAGAATATTGTGTGCATAATAAATAAATAATTTTTTTTTTAAAAAAAAGATCTCCACATAGATCATACACAAGGGAGACTGGGAAGTGGTGGTGCATGCCTTTGATCCCAGCACTTGGGAAGCAGAAGCAGGCGGATCTCTGGAGTTTGAGGCCAGCCTGGTCTACAGAGTGAGTTCCAAGACAGCTAGGGCTGTTACGCAGAGAAACCATGTCTTGAAAAACCAGAGAGAGCCGGGCGGTGATGGCGCACACCTTTAATCCCAGCACTCATGAGGCAGAGACAGGCGGATCTCTGTGAGTTCGAGGCCAGCCTGGTCTACAAGAGCTAGTTCCAGGACAGGAACCAAAAAAAAAGCTACAGAGAAACCCTGTCTCGAAAATCAAAAAAAAAAGGAAGAAAGAAAGAAAGAAACGAAAAGAAAAACCAGAGAGAGAACACAAGGAGATGCACACATCCTTAGGGAAGATGATCCAAAAGTCAGCCTCCTTGAAAGTCTTGGAATAGGAGGTGATGGCATGTGCTTGTCATTCATAATTCTAATTCTCTGGAGGCAGAAGTAAGAGGATCTCTGCAAATTTAAGACCAGCATGATCTACATAGTAAGTTCTAGGATAGTCAGGGATACATAGTGAAACCTTGTCTCAAACAAACAAAACAGGAAAAAGAAACTCAGAGAAGATGACCTCTTGGGACAAATCCAACAAAGCTGTGTGTGGGTGTACACCAGTAATTCTCACGCTCTGGGAGATGAGGCAGGGGGATAACCAGTTTGAGACCAGCCTGGATTACATGAGATCCTGTCTCCAGACAACATAATACCACTCAGGAACTGGAAACAGGCACTCCAGAGATGGTCTTCAGTTGCGGCTTGGGAGCATTTGAGCAACTGCTTTTTCCTTCATGTTTCCTCAGAGATGTCCCAAGCTCTAGGTAACACGGGGTACAGCAGGCAGGCTGATTTCAGGACCTCTGGTAGTTGGAGCTCATCTCGGAAACCTGATTTTTCGCCTAGTTTAACCAGATAGTCTTCATAATCACACCATAACACGTAGCCTGTCTCACATAAGTCCTGGCACAGCCATAGTGGTGCCTGTGTTCCTTGGGATCCTTCCTGTGCAGATGAGCAGAGCGGTGAAGCCATTGAATCTGCTGTTATCACAACCAGAGACGGGGCCAGGTATCCCTTGGTGCAGGGACTTCAGCTACTGCTGTAGTGACTCTTCTGTAGGTTCTCTTAGAGGGGTCAGGCTGGCTCCCGTTGCCAAGTATGGGAAGGTAGGAGGGGGGAACAAAATGGACCCATTTGAAGACTACAAATACTTGCCCAGCTGTGCCCTCATGTTCCCAGGCTGTCATTTATGGCAGTAACTTCTCGTGACTGTTGAGCATTTCCCGGTGTCTTGAGGTGCAGCTCCTGGCGGCCGAGGTGGATGGGAACCACAGAGGGAACATGTGAGACAGGAGAAACAAGAGCAGCTAGAGGAAACTGAGGGGTGCTGTTGCTGGGAGGGAGCGATCTGCAGCTGTGGGTATTGTTGGAACATCTGTAAGGTGAGAGCTTTGAGGGGCCCTTAGCAATAGCGGCAGTAACAGGCAGAGAGGGTCAGGAGCAAGTGACAAAGTAGCCCCCTCCAGTTGAGGCTTACCCTCTGGGAGCTTAGGGAGCTGCTCCAAGCATGCTTTCTTCCACTGTACCCGGGAGAGCTCCCAGGGAGGAAAGGGGACAGAGACAGTGGAAATGCTGGAGAAGCCAGCCAGATACTGCCACTGTCCTTCCACATGTTAGGACTGTGGGTCATTTGAAGTGATGTGGCTTCTTCACTATGCTGAGTACACAGACATTTGCAATCTAGTGACTGTTTGGCAAAGACACCATACGCTGTGTTAGTTATTGTCCACCTTTGGGACAGTCCCGCCATCAGAGGCTCTGCTCTTTGTGTGTTCAGGGGATGAGCTGCAGATCTACCTGGTGGTGGCCTGCCCTTCTGTAGAGGCAGAGTAATTTGGCATGGTGTGTGATGGGTGAAGTCCTGGTGAGGCCGAGTTTGCAGAGTAGGCCTGGGAGGAATTCTCTTGTCAAGCAATGAACAACTGGAGGATGACTTAACCAGCTCCCCTGAGAAAGTTGACCTGTTCCTCCAGGAGTATCTGCACAGCCCCCTTTCCCAGAAGGACCTCCTCACACTTCTCAGTTACCCTGCTTTCCTGGCTAGGCTTTGTTCCCTCACAGTGGTCTGGGCTGCTCCACACAGAGCCTTTGGGATCCTGTGGTCTGGCACATTCCTCCAGGGGGCCTCTGGAGTTCTTCAGTGATTACAATCATCATAATGCAGGAGCAATTACAGTAATGACAGCAAGCAGGGCAGCTGGCTTTTTGCCAGAGGTTTGTAAAGCGTTCTGTAAGTGTAATTGCACTTAGCCTCCGAGGCTTTACAAGGTGGGTGGTGTTAAGTGTGGTTCAGTCTGAAGAGGGCAGGTGCTCAGCCTGTGGGTGAGGCCCATCTCCCTGAGCATCCTGCGGCCTGTGCCTTTCACGGGCTGTTTCCCTACATTCTAAAGCATTGCAGTTGTCAGGGCAGTGTGGGTGCTCTACTCATTAGGGAACTTGGTGGGTGCCTAGAGTAGAAAAGAGAAGCGATGACCACAAGGAGGGAGTAAATGTTTGGGGGTATTCCTGGCCTGTCTTGGTGGTGCTCAGGGACTGCCAAGCAAGGCAGGGGCTGCCTTCCTCCCTGCGTAGCCTCTTCATCTGGGAAGGGATATCCTGTTAATTTCACACAAGTGGCATGGTGGCAGAGTCACAAGTGTTCAGTTGGAGGGCCCTCCTTGGAGAGCAACAGACACACCTTGCTCCTTCACTGTGGCTGAGGGCCTAGGACAAGGAGCTGTTCTTCAAAGCTCACAGTGGTATCCTGAGAGCCACATGCTTGAAGAAGGGAGGGAAGCTGAAACTGGGCATGGGAGCTGGAAGAACTGGCCCTTGAGAATCCCCAGCTCGCCCTAACACCTTTGCAGGGACGGGGTCTGTCTGTTGCTTGGCATTATGTGGCAGTTGGCAGGTCTGAGTGAAAAGTGCCTTTCATGTTCTTGGATCCCTGTGTCTTTGGGTAGTAGTATCCAAAGAAGCCATCCATGGGGGAGAAGGCTAGCCATCCCCAATGCTGGCTCTGTATTGGGGTCCTTCCTGAGAAAGGCACAGAGAGCCCCAAAGATACAACTAGAGTGCCAGCCCTCTGACAGTCCTGCCCTCACAGCTTTGCTTTCTGGAAAAGTCCAGTCTGAGTTTGGATGCTGAAGAGACCGCAGGGAGCCAAGCAGCTGGAGAGCGGCAGGCAATGAGGGAGGAGGCGGTGCACAGGGAGAAAGGGTGCTAGGCTCTGACAGCGGACACTGACACGGTGAAGGAAGTGGGGGCTTGGCCATGCCTGGAAGTGCTTGTACCTCCCAAAAGAACCTTAGGTGCAATCCCTGGGGCCTGTGTGAGGCAAGATTTATGGGAGGCAGAGATAGACTTTGTCCTTCTCTGCAGGGAAGGCCATGCTGGGCTGCAGGCCTGGTTTGTGAGGAGACCCGCAAGGCGGGGGGGGGGGGGGGGGGGGGGGGGGGGGGGGGGGGGGGGGGGGGGGGGGGGGGGGAGACTGGAGCCACACTGCTGTGCAGGGAACTGTGGTGAGGGATCAAGGTCCAGGTGCTTGCCCACTTGAGTCTGTCAGAGTAGGAAGGTGTCTGTGAGGGATGAGCCTAGGCCTTTCTTGTAGTCCCTCAGCAAATTAAATCCTTGGGACAATCAGGCTTGGGTGCTGCTCATTCGTGCCTGGGGCCAGGCTCCATCTGGTGTTGCCTGTTGGCTCTACCCCAGCATAAGAAGCTGAGTCTGGGGGGCAGTGCCTGATCCTACCTCTCCATTCAGAGACTCACACAGCCAGACGTCTGGTAAGTGGTGAGAATCCTCCCCGCTGACTTCTACCACGGGGACAAGACCTAAGAGCACTGTTCTGGTCCTGTCAGCAGGGGGTTTTTGTTATTTAGA